ATGAAGTATGTTTCTTATTATTCTGAAAGCCTGAAGTGCTTTGGGGCACAGGACAGAACACAGTGTAAACCAGGCACTCTCATGGTTTAGAGTTGTATTCATCAACATGATTGCAATCATTGGTCACATGTGGCTATTAAAATTAGAAGTAAATGAGAACTTAAATTCAGTCCCTCAGTCTCTGTAGCTGTTTTCTAGCCCCCGTGTTAGCACCGTTATGGAATGTCTCCAATCAAGGCAGAAAAGTTCTATTGGGTAAGGGATGGTTTCGAATGTGGAATGACACAAGACTGCCAGAAACTGTTAGAACTGAAATCATGGCTTTACCCATGGCGTTAGGTGACCTTGGGCAGGTTACTTTCCCTCTTTAAGTCTCAGCTTCCTCATCAATACAGTGAAAATAATACTAATCCTACTTTTGTGTTCTCTTGCAAAGATCAAATATAGTAGTATTGATTAAGTACTTAACACCTTGTTATCAGACATAACATCCACAAGATGGAAGCCATTCTTTCCCAGTGATGGATTTTTTTTCCTCTTCTTTTCTTTTTTGAGAAGGGAAATGATGTGTTTGTTAGCTTAAATCTATTAACTGCAAGATATAGTTGTTCTGGTTTCCAGCTAGACAAACAGAAGCCCTTATTGTTAGCTGCAGAAAACCCCAGTTTGTCAGACTCATACTTTTTTCTCTCCCTTTCCTTTCTTTCTTTCTTTTTTTAAAAAGCATCCTCTGTCTCTGAGAAACATGCTTGAATTTGTTTTACTTCTCTTCGGTCAGGAAGTAACCCTTTGGCTTTGTTAGAAGCGTGGTTTGTAATAATTGTACCCACCCCAGATGGCTCCTGAAAACCCTTTGAAATGCCATCTGTCAGGCGTGTGTCCAGCCGGCAGCCTGTCATTCTGCTACAAGAAAGGAGGAGGCGGGGCCCCTCCCTGCGTCCCTTTCTCCCTCGTCACTGAATGGAGCCTGGTACATTGGAGCAGACCCAGCATGGGTTGCTCTGAGGATACCCGGGAGTAAACCTCCTGCTAGCCAGCAGCATGGAAAGGTTTTGTCTGGATAAAATAAACCCTGACGGTCCAGTGAGTAGAGAATTGTCTGCCTACTGCCTCCTTCCACTGCTGCTCAGAGACCATTTGAAGAATATTTTGTAATGTGGGGGAAAAGATGTCTGTGAGTTTATTTTTCCTCCAAAACGTAGCATGTTTGAAGGCCTTGGTTATTTCCGATCCTTTTGGGAAATTAAGACTCTGGGGGTGACTATTGTCTTTAAAGTAAATCTGACAGGCTGAATGAGAAAGCACAGTTGAAATGGCATCCATAAGATGGTTACAGAAAGAGGGAGAAAAACAAAACAAAACAAAACATGGTCTGGTCTAGGAAGATTTTTTTTAAAACTCACAAGCTTGTGTTTGTTTTTATTTTAACCTTATCTTTTTAAAAAATGAATTTAATGGAATTGGAGTATGGAGGCTGAGCCTGAGAGTTGCTATTTAAAACTTATTTAGGACAGATCATATCTCAGCACGTTTCAGAGAGTCTATTCTTGCACAGTATCGGAATCGCCCAGGATGACGTAGACTGTGTTTTACAAGCAGCCCGCTGAACAGCTTTTTTACTTGGCTCCAAAACCTCATTTCCACCTCTCATGCTCCTGTCTTGCTGGTTGCCTCTTGTAAGCTTTCAGGACCTGTATCCTATTCACAGATTCTACAAGACAGAAGGTCTTTGTGTCCAGTCTATGCTTTTCAAGCTTCTTTTTTTGATGCTTCTTTCTTGGTCTTCCAGTATCCCTAGTTTACTGAACGACTCATCACTTCTAAGCCAGGTCATCAGACCATGAGCCTTTCCTGATCACCTTCAAACCTAAAGAGGTTACTGGTTCTCACCTCTCTGAACCCAAGTGTCTAATCTCAGACTTAAATGTCTTAAATCAACTCTTTTTTTTCCCCTTCTGTCAGTACTGGCACTTGAACTCAGGGCCAGGCAATTCTCCCTTAGTTATTACACTCAAGGCTGATATTCTACCACTTGAACCACAGATCTAATTCTTGGCTTTTTGCTGGTTCATTGGAAATAAGAGTTTCATAGATTCTTCTGCCTAAGCTGGCTTCAAAACACGATCTTTAGATCTAACTTCCTGAGTAGCTAGGATTGCAGGTGTGAAGCACAGGGCATGGCCAGAGTCCACTCTTGATGTTCTATTCAAGAAGTTTTTTGTTTTTTGTTTTAATAATGAACGAAATTGACCTATATTCTTTCTTACAAATTCACTTATTTCTGTCTTCACAGTACAGGCCTATACTGTCCCACTCCTCTGGTTTTTAACAATGAGTTGAGGCAGGAGTCTCTAATGATTTCCTTAGGAAGTGTAAAACATGTGACTTCCATATCTGGCTCCTTGCATTCATTTTCAACTTCGTTTCTATCCCTGCACCAGCCTATATGCCCTTCTCCCAAATCAAAGCCGTATTCTATACGTCTGTCTGCCTGAGGTTTCTCCCCACCTTGCATGAGCCAGGCTTTTCCTATTTCTCTATCCTTACTCCTCACTTTGCCTTCTTTTGCCAAGATGTGCCAAGACACATCTAATCCTCTGCCCTCCATTGTTCTGAGATGCCTCTAACCCTGTAGCCCACAGAAGATTTATTTCTCCCTGTATTGTCCCACATGCATATTTATTTTCTGTCTCTCATAGTGAAGTAGAAATTTCATTAGGGGAAATACTTTGTTTTGTTTACCCATGATTCCCCAGTGCCTTAATTAGTGCTTGACATGTACAGGCATCTTGGAAAGTATTTATTCAATAAATGAAGCACTTAATGATATATCTATGATCTATATTTATATAATATCAGATTATTGTAGTATAATTGAAAGAGTAAGATTCTAAATTCTAACAATAATAAACTATAACATCTGCTAACATGTTGCCTTCAATACATATAACACATGTATGACATAGATATTGTCATTAGCCCAATTTTATCCAAGAGGAACCAAGTAGTAACAGAGCTAGGAACTGTGTCAAGCAAGGTCATTAGATCACGAGCCTGTCCTGATCACCTCTACTTTCTTGAGAACACATTGTGTGCCTAAAACTCAAGCACTCAAGTTCCTGAATGTTTTTCCCTCTGTGGTGCTGAGGATCCAACCCAGGGCCTCCTATACGTTAGGCAAGTGTCCTACCATTGAACTACACTTTGGTCCATGACACATGAGGTGGAAGTTTAAAGGTCATAAACAACCTCTGCTCTAGTCCACCAAGATGCCAGAAATAGAAACAAATAAGAAACCAGTGTAGGAATAGACCTATGGATAATACTCAAGCAGGCTTCTATTCAGAAAGCCCCAGAGTGCTGAGTAAAAGAAGCAGACACTTGAACATATTCTGTGTATAATCTGTGACTACTTAAGCTACTTCAGATATTTTATAAATCGGGTGCATTTAAAAGTATATTTGGGGGCTGGGAAGGTGGCTCAGTGGTAGAGCACTTGCGTTGCATGCATGAGGCCCTGGGTTTGATTCCTCAGCACCACATAAGCAGAAAAGGCTGGAAGTGGCTCTGTGGCTGAAGTCGTAGAGAGCTAGCCTTGAGCTGAAGAGGTGAGAGACAGCATCCAGGTCCAGAGTTCAGACTCCACAACTGACCCCCCCCCCCACCAAAAAAAAAAAAAAAGTGTATTTGGCCTGAGTAACACATGCAACAATTCACAAGGTTTTGGATCTAAGGGAATCATGGTTCTCCATAAAGTGGGGATAGTTCACCCACTGCCAAGAGATCAGAGGTCACATAACTTGCAAAACATTGGAGGTGCAGGGCACATACAGTTGGTTATTTACTTGCTTTAAAATTAAGGGAAGAGGAAGTGGCGTTGTGGCTCAAGTGGTAGAGCACTTACCTTGAGCTGAGGAGCTGAGGGAGAGTGCCCAGACCCAGAGTTCACGCCCCACAACTGACCCCCCCCCCCCCAAAAAAAAAGGCTTACAAGGAAAGCCCTAAAAACCTTCAGATTTCAATATAAAATTTGCCTAAAATTAAGGGAAGAGAATCTGAGGAATGGGAAGCTCCTGCTTCTTGTGCATAAGAACTTTAAATCACTATCATCCATGTTTATCTTATCTCGTCATTTGAAGGAGGCAACAACTGACATCAGTTTTGGCTCTGGTTTGGGCTCCCAATCATATCATCATTCAACCTAGATTTCCTTTACACACTGAATAATTGCTTTAGTTTATCTTCTATTCTTGATTCTGGGTAAGCCACAGTCTGCCCATTGCCTTTCTACTTAGGGTCATGACTAAGCTAAAACAGATCCACAGCCTATCACCTAAGCAGGCTAACCTCAAGGTTTTAGATTATTTCATAGCAGAAACTGTGACATTGAGTAGCCATATAACCAGTTAATTCAGGGACATTGAGTAGCCATATAACCAGTTAATTCCTCTGTAGGCAGAACATACAGGTGGCCTCTTTTTTTTAATCAAATGTATTAATTACATGGACAGAAGCTACATTTTAATCCCTGGGAGATGTCCAACCACAGATCTTGGGCAATCACATTTCTCCAGTGATGTGTTTATGCAGTGGGTGTCATTTTCTTCAAAGGGCCTATTACACTGGAACTTGCCAGATGTATTAAGAAACACAAGGATTTCAGGGCTGAGATAAAAATATAAACCCCTTAGACTCTGAGCTTAGTGTTTACTGGAGTCCTCAAAGCTGCTGATAGTAGATGTTGTCTGGGTAACATTCTTGCTCATTTGGTGCATTTAAATGACTGGTAAATCTGTCTCAAAGATACTAGTTGTGCTTAGTTCTGTCTTCCTACCTGAGGGTGGAAGAGTGCTGTACTCATAGAAGTTACCTTTCTCTGATACTGTCTGCACAGGTAAGTGGGCAGGATTCTCAGCATGCCAGCTGACCCGACAAGTTCTTTTAATTATACCTGGTTGTGGAACTTCCTGTTTTAATGGCTGATGGCTTCCTTTCCACAGGCACAACCCGATCTCCCAGAGAAGGAGAGGTGCCAGGAGTGGATTACAACTTTCTAACTGTGAAGGAGTTCTTGGATCTTGAGCAGAGCGGGACTCTTCTAGAAGTTGGCACCTATGAAGGTGAGAGTCTTGACAGTTCAGGGGTCACAGAAGATGTGTCTTTCCCATGGACACTGTGGAAGGCCCTAGACCATCCAGGCAAATGTCTTACAAACTAGGGAAGTCTAGCCATCCATAGGAGATTACAGTTTAACCTTAATGTGACAAATCCTAATGAACTATACAGAATAGCATTTGGGGAAGCTATTTACAAATAGGTTTTTTTTTTTTTCTTTCGCTGCTGAGGACCAAACTCAGGGCCTTGCACTTGACAGGCAAGTGCTCTTCCATTGAGCTAAATCCTCAACCCTACAAATAGTATTGCTCCAGATGTTTTCTCTTTTACCTTATGCATTTCAGTGTAGGTGTTGGTGTGTGTTAATGCAGACATGTGGGCATAGGAAACATTGGAAGAGCAATTATGAGCAATCACACAATGTGACCTTGCAGGAAGGATTGTTTTCATCTGGAAAGAATGGAATGCCATTGTGGCTACTAGTTTGGATTTGATGATTTTCTTCTAGGAGAAAATCTATTTACAGAGTTCAGTGTCTGAAATAGTGGGGTCCTTACACATGTTTCCATCTGCCTATCTTCCATTTGCTAAGTGCTAATGTACTTGTTAGCCTCTGATTTCAGTTCTGAAGTGTGTGTGTATTACACACCCATGTACAACTATGTATAGGAGCATCACAGTGCCTTGTTCCTTTTATTTTCAGTTCTGTCTTCCCTGATCTGTGCTGTGCAATAGTAGAACACTCCTTGTTTGCTTCTTCTTCTTCAGACTATTTTGTTTCTTTGTATCAATCATTAATCAGTTCCCTCTGGATAAGAATTTGGGTCACTTTTAGCTTTTGATCTTTCAAAACACAGCTGTATTTAATAATGTGAACATATTTCACTTGGCAACTGTAAAGCTGTATGTATGAGATGGGTTCCACAGGTGGGATTGCTCAGTCAAAACCAAATGTGGGGGACAGCTTACATTTTCCTCTTCCTCCTCTTTTTATTGTATTATAATCTATTGTTTCTCATAAATGTATGTTTATGTACATGATTTTAATCCTTTTGAATAAGTTTAATAGATACGTAATGATTACATATACTTACTAAATACATGTTTATAATACATAAGAATCAGAACAGATGAATTGGCATATTTATCACCTCAAATATTTCTCCCTTCCTCCCTTCTTCCCTTCCTTCTTTCCATCCTTCCTTCTCTTTCTTCCTTCTTTCCTCTGTCCCTCCCTCCCTCACCTTTCTTTCATGTTGGAACTCAAACACAGGGTCTTGTGCATGCAAACAAAGCCCTCTACCACAGAACTACATCCCAGCTTTTGGTCTTTGCACAAGGGTCACATTACGTAGCTCAGACAGGCCTCGTGTTCACTATACACCTCAGGCTTGCTTCAAAGTTGTAATTTTCCTGCCTTTACTTCTCCAGTAATGGGATTACAGGTCTGTACAACCATGCCTGGCTATCATTTCTTTGCACTGGAAGCATTCAAAGTTCTGTCTTAAGTATACAATTAGTTGTTAGGTGACTAGTTAGCCTACTATAGAATAGAATATTATAAGTTACTTCTGTTTACCTTCCTCCCTGTTCCTATGTGCCATCTCCTCTCCATTTCCCTTTTCTCCACACCCTTCTAGACTCTCAGTGTCACACTTAGATGAGGTTAGAATATGCAGCATGTGTCTTTTTGAGCCTGACGTATTCCGCTTATCATAATGCTCATTCATGTTGCTGCCAGTGATAGGTGTAATGGCTGAATAATAATGACAATTTCATGGTTGAACAGCCATGTTGTTTATCTGCTCATCTGTCCATGGACACCTGGGTCAACTCCATATCCTGGCCATTGTGGATGGCAATAGACACGGGTGTAGCTATGTTTTTTATATAGTGGTAAGTGTTCCAGAGTAGAATTTTTTTTTTATTGGATCAAATTGTAATTGTGTTTCTAACTTTGTAAGGATCCTCCATATTGACTTTCACCATGGCTATATTAATTTACGTTCACTCTATAAGAGTTACCATTTCCTCCCCATTTTTGCTAATATTTGTGTCTGTGCTCATTTTTCCAATAAAAACTACTCTTTTAGTAGAGTGAGGTAATACCTCATTGTGGGTTTGACTTGCATCTCCCAAATTGTTAAATTTTCTAGAAATAATGGCTTTTGGATTATTATTATTTGAGACAGAAGTGGTGTGATACTAGATTAAATGGCTAATTTGGCAATAGTTAGAGGTATCTCTATAAAGTCCTAAATTTTAGATTGTTCAGACAATCACAGGGTATTTAAAAGATTAAACTTAAAAATAAGTACAGATATTACACTGATTATCTTATCAGGGACAGTAGAGCTTCAATGTGATTACAGTCCCTATTAAAGATACTAGCTAAAAGTCAAGTGCTGGTTAAGGTTAGTTCTTAGGTTCTGCTCTGATGGATTTAGTGGGAGGAGGGGAGCTTTGTCTTTGTCCCCATTATTCACTACCAAATATTGTATATACACAGTTAACTTACGACGTGATTTTTTTTTGGGAGGGGGGTCAGTTGTAGGGCTTGAATTCAGGGCCTGGGCGCTGTCTCTGAGCTTTTTTTTTGCTCAAGGCTAGTCCTCTATTACTTTGAACCACAGCTCCATTTCTGGTTTTTAGGTGGTTAACTAGAGATAAGAAACTCATAGACTTCCCTGCCTGGGCTGGCTTCAAACCATGATCCTCATATTTCAGCCTCCTGAGCATCTAGAATTACAGACATGAGCCACCCAGCTTGAGCATTGCATCTGATCAGTTGGCTTAGTTCTTTGGTCCTGTCATGGCTGGATGGAGACTTGTGAATGGTTGTGGGTGGTGGGGAGGTAGTGAGAAGGCCAAGGGGCTTAAGGGAAACATGGAGTTTCTTGTCTTTGTGTCGCCAGTTAAAAACTCAGCAACTGTTCAGGTGCTGTTATTATCACCAATTTTTTAGATGGGATTGTGTAAGGTAAATGGCATTAAGAAACTTTTTCAAGGGAAATAGTTAGTTCTCAGATGCTGGATCAGGAACCAAACTCAGCTCAGTCTGGCTCTGAGATCCTACTGTTTTCCTGAAAAACCCCCAGATATCGTGACTATAACCTAGTATATAGCTGTAAGGAAGTAACTTTATTTCTAATTATCTTTAAAACTGTGCTTCTGTGCACACCTACCAGTTGATTATTTCAAAGTTGAAATTCTGTGATGTATAAAGTCATCCTTTCCTCTTCCGACCCATCAGCTGAAGTCTTTAGCCTCTGACCTTGTACCAGTCAGATTTCCTGCCCTGTGAGATGTCTCTTGATTGCTTGCAGCACACTGGAGTATATTATGTTGACTCTTGCAACCTAAGAACAAAGTAGGATTGTTCTTAGAAGCTGGCTACTATCTCAGGAGTAGTTCCAGAGAGATCCTCAGAGGTTAGGCTCTGTGCTGGCCTCTCTTGGACCAGTCCCTGATGGCAGCTGTCTCTGGTGTTGGAGCTGCCCTGCTCACCCACCGCCTGAGTCCAAGTCTCAGCCCCTGTGCGGTGGAGCTCGGTGGCCTCTGGCATGTTGTGTAATTGTTCCTTGTCTGCTTTTCCCCTTGGTAAAGTGAAGATAATCACAGGGCTTCATCCTAGGTAGGACTAAATCACACAATGATTGGAAAGGGCTTACCAGAGTGCCTGATCCATATGAGCTCTCAATCAACATTAGTTCTTTTATTTGCACACACGACTGGCCTTAAAATGCAACTACAGAGGATTTTCCGTCTTCGTGTAGTCAGCAAACCAGCAAATTTGCCCATAAAATATCTGTGCTTATTTCTCAAGTTCTAACCACCTTTTGTTCTTTATATTTTATTACTTTATTATTATTATTATTATTATTTTGGTGGTACTAGGATTTGAACTCAAGGCTTTGTACTTCCTAAACCGGTACTCTACCACTAGAGAGCTATGTTCCAGTCCTTTTTTTTGTTTTTTGTTTTTGTTTTTTTCTTAGTAGACCCTGGAGCTTGAACTCAGGGTGTAAGCACTGTCCCTGAACTTTTTGGCTCAAGCCACAGCTCCACTTTCTAGCTTTTTGGTGGTTAATTAGAGGTAAAGTCTCAGGGACTTTCCTGCCTGGGCTGGCTTCCAGCTGCAATTCTCAGATCTTAACCTCCTGCATAGCTAGGAATATAGGCTTGAGTCACCAGCACCTAGCCCCAGTCCTTTTTAGCTTTACTTATTTTTCAAATAGGGTCTTGAGATTTTTGCCATTCTCAGGTCACACTCCTCCTATCTCTGCCTCCCATATAGTTAGAGTTAAAAGCATGTACTGCCATGGCCAGCTTGTTGGTTTTGGTTTTGAACTACAATCCTCCTGGATCTCTCCTCCCTGAATAGCTGGAACTACACATGTGAGCCACCAAGGCTGGCTTCCTAACCACATTTTACCACCTGGAATTTCTTTGTCTTGACCACTGTGGATTCCAGAGGGGGCAAGTCTAGTAAAATTGTAAGGCAACACACTTTTAAATATTGAAGTAAAAGTAATTAATGTATTTGTCTGCTGCTGTTATGATACATGTTCTCCAAAGGCCCACATGTGAAGACTTGGTTCTCCAGTCCATGGTGCTGTTGTGACAGTACTGGAATCTTTACCTTTAAGAGGTGGGGCCTAAATAGGAAGTCATATAGAGGTGTGTCCTGGAAAAAGGTGTGGGAAGTGAGAGAAGGGATGGGTTAGGAGCCATGGGTGACAGTGTTGTCAGACACCTTGTAGTCATGTACTGTTTTGTAGAATGGGAACTTCTTTTATACAACTAAAGATAATAGAAGAAAAAGAAAGAGGTATGAGGAGCCAGGCTCCTCCCCTTCTTCTGTCTTTGCCTCTTAGCCACAGGAGGTGAGCAGATTGCAACCCATCTCACACCAGGATACCTTACCTGACACAAGCCCAAAGCAGATGAGTCACCATGTTCTGGAACCTGAGGCTGCGAGCTAAAACGAAGCTTTCCTCTTAAG